TAGTGTGTGTTATAGTGTTGTTTCTCAGAATACTATGTTTAAAGAATAGAGCAAGATAAAGTTGTTTCATCTCTGTACAAAGGTCATAACAGACCATTTTCTTTCTTTTTTTTTTCAATATGTTTTTACTCATTTCAGAGAGAGGAAGGGAGGGGGAGAGAGATAGAAACATCAATATGAGAGAGAATTACTCATCGCCTGCCTTCTGCACGCCCCTACTGGGGATGGAGCCCACAACCCGGGCCTGTGCCCTGACCGGGAATCGCACTGACCTCCTGGTTCATGGGTCTACATTCAACCACTGAGCCACGCCAGCTGGGCACAGACACTTCTTTGGATCATACCAGAAACTGACCATGTGTCCGTCTCAAACTGAGTTCCCTTTCTCTTTGTTTTTACTGGTGATGGTATCCTGTGCTAGTGCCGCATCTGTGTTCTTCAAAGCTATAGGCTATCTTCATTTCCTTTCTCTTGTTTAGTTTTTCTCCGTGATTCCTTCCTTTTTATGTTCTGGTTTTCTATCCAAATCTCAGTCTTGGTATTTAAAATATTTTATTGTTTTTTTACAGAAAGGAAGGGAGAGGGATGGAGAGTTAGAAACATCGATGAGAGAGAAACATCGATCAGCTGCCTCCTGCACACCCCCTACTGGGGATATGCTCGCAACCAAGGTACATGCCCTTGACTGGAATCGAACCTGGGACCCTTCAGTCCGCAGGCCGATGCTCTATCCACTGAGCCAAACCGGTTAGGGCAGTCTTGGTATTTATTGCGTCGTGTGTGGTAGCAGTGTTTTCTTATTATGCTTATGGGATAAGTAGTATTTCCTTGGTCTCTGGTCGTGTGATTTTACTAACCTCAGAACTCCCTTCCCTCTTCCTACTTCCGACCTCTCCCAAGACCCTTCTGAGGCACGGTCTTCATTGTGATAATCTTGTGTGGTCTTCTTGCCATCACCTTATCCAGAATGCCCTCCGCCCATCAAGACTCAGTAGACCCTTTAATCTTACACTTGAACCTGATAGATCAGCCTCCTGTGCAGCCTGTGTTATTGGACTCTTTGCCTCTTGCTTTGTAATTGCTCTAAGCTTTCCCTGTGTGTTTTCTGTTGTATCTCCTTGTCTGCACCGGTCACATCTTTCGAGGTCCCGTGTCTGTCTGCTGTTTCTTCAGTTCACCTTGCTACAATGCCCGCTGTGTTATTTTTTTTAAAAAACAGGCTTGCTGATATTGATTAGGTAAGTTTTCAATTCAATATTTACTTTCTTACACGTGGTGAGGTAGAACCGAAGCAAATATTTGATGACAGAAGCCGTTGGAACCTGGCATGGACACCATCTCCCCCACGGACAGATGGTCCAGGCCCTTCTTCCTACAGCTGACCCGTTCGTTGTTCTGTAGCAGCAGGAGAGGAAGAGGGAATGACACGTGGAGCTCTTTACACGACTTCCAGCCTCCAATGTCTGTTTAATAGGAAAAAACCTAGGCTAGTTCTGTATAACCAAGCTCCTCCGGACATAGCACATAACCATCCCTTGCTGCTGCGGTGGCCTGTCCTGGTTGGATTTCATGCACCTGGCGACTGGGAACCCCCTTTCACAGGAAGTTCACACCCAACTTATTCAGGGATCTGCCTTTTTGCTTTAAAATGTTTTTCTAGCCCAGCCGGTGTGGCTTAGTGGTTGAGCGTTGACCTATGAACCACGGTTCGATTCCCAGTCAGGGCACATGCCCGGGTTGCGGGCTCGATCTCGAGTGGGAGGCGTGCAAGAGGCAGCCGATCAATGATTCTCTCTCCTTCTCCCTTTCTGAAATCAATTTTTAAAAAAAGTTTTCTGTACCATTTCTTATCTGCTTTCTCTTATCACCTCCTTTCCAAGTCCATATTGATATTTATTCAGTTGATCTACTGGGGAGAGAATACCAATCCCTCTTTTTTGGGGGGATGAGTTAGTTTTTTGGTTAAAATGTAGCACTGATACCAAAAAGTATTTTGGTCGTCTGTTAGTTGTTGCCTTTGAAAGGCTGAGTAACTTTCTTTTAAACATTTACGGTTGTGAAATAGAACATACAGTAAGTGCTCACTTAACATCGTTGATAGGTTCTGTGACTTGAATAAGCGAAATGACATGTGATAAAACCAATTTTACCACCGGCTGATTGATATAAACCAGAGTCAAGTTCCTGTGGCATGTCAACAACAGTTTAACGAAATGACGTTGAACGCAAGATACTATTTGAGGACCTGCTGAATGACTCGATGGGATATAGAATGGAAGGGATATAGACAGAAAAAAATGTCTAAAACAAATGTGTGGTGGAATGAATAATTACAAAACAGACATCCATGTACCTGCCGCCCAGGTTAAGGGGCACAGCATTGCTGTCACCATGAAGCCCCCCACCTGTGCCTCTCCTTCCGTTGCCTGGAGAAAACCACTGTCCTGATTTTTTTTAAAAAAATATATTTTATTGACTTTACCACGGTTCGATTCCCAGTCAGGGCACATGCCCGGGTTGCGGGCTCGATCTCGAGTGGGAGGCGTGCAAGAGGCAGCCGATCAATGATTCTCTCTCCTTCTCCCTTTCTGAAATCAATTTTTAAAAAAAGTTTTCTGTACCATTTCTTATCTGCTTTCTCTTATCACCTCCTTTCCAAGTCCATATTGATATTTATTCAGTTGATCTACTGGGGAGAGAATACCAATCCCTCTTTTTTGGGGGGATGAGTTAGTTTTTTGGTTAAAATGTAGCACTGATACCAAAAAGTATTTTGGTCGTCTGTTAGTTGTTGCCTTTGAAAGGCTGAGTAACTTTCTTTTAAACATTTACGGTTGTGAAATAGAACATACAGTAAGTGCTCACTTAACATCGTTGATAGGTTCTGTGACTTGAATAAGCGAAATGACATGTGATAAAACCAATTTTACCACCGGCTGATTGATATAAACCAGAGTCAAGTTCCTGTGGCATGTCAACAACAGTTTAACGAAATGACGTTGAACGCAAGATACTATTTGAGGACCTGCTGAATGACTCGATGGGATATAGAATGGAAGGGATATAGACAGAAAAAAATGTCTAAAACAAATGTGTGGTGGAATGAATAATTACAAAACAGACATCCATGTACCTGCCGCCCAGGTTAAGGGGCACAGCATTGCTGTCACCATGAAGCCCCCCACCTGTGCCTCTCCTTCCGTTGCCTGGAGAAAACCACTGTCCTGATTTTTTTTAAAAAAATATATTTTATTGACTTTTTACAGAGAGGAAGAGAGAGGGATAGACAGTTAGAAACATCGATAAGAGAGAAACATCGACCAGCTGCCTCCTGCACACCCCCCACTGGGGATGTGCCCGCAACCCAGGTACATGCCCCCGACCGGCGAGGCGAGTGATGTCCTGTGTTCTCTTTCCAGCATAGTGTGCTCTGCTGTAAGCGCTTCATTTCTTTCTTTTTTAAAAAAAATATATTGATTTTTTGCAGAGAGGAAGATGTCCTGACTTTAATTTGCTCGTATTTTGTTGCGGATATTTGCATCTGTGTCTCTAAAACATTGGTCCCTCATGTTCTTGTGTTGTCCTTGTCTGGTTTGGGTCTGAGGGTAATACTGGCCTCATAGAGTGAGCTGGAAAGCGTTCCTTCCCTTCTTTTTGGGGGGGGGAAGAGTTTGTGAAGAATCAGTCTCATCCTTCATTTCTTATAGGAACAGTTCTTATATGAAGTTGTTGCATTTTTCGGTAACAAATAGGATGAGGATACAGTGGGAAGCCAGCAGGCCTTAGTTGTAAGTGACCTCTGCCCTCCACAGAGGCTGTCTTTCAACGTTTGAATTCACCAGCAAAGCCGTCAGGGCCTGAGCTCTTCTTGTGGGTAGTTACTGATCCCTGATTCTGCAGCCAGTTCTGAGCGATGCTTAAACGTCTTTGATCTTTGATTAGATGAGGACGACTATGCTTACAGCACAGCCTCTCAGAACATGTTCAAGCACAGCTGGAAGACGTCCGTCAACTTTTCCGCGTTGGTTCAGACGCCTGGCGTTTGGGACCCTTTTGTGAAGAGCTATGTAGAGGTAAGTAGACTTTTCATAACATTTTATCAGTGTCCTTTTTACTATAAGTCTAACCTACTGATCAGAAGGAAACGAATATTTAGAAATTGTTAAAAAAAAAAGCCTCTCTTTTTGGTCTGAACATTTTTTGTTGATTTATTTTACTAGTATACTGTAAATGTTACTTTTGTTTGTTTTTACCTCTGGATACCATGTCATAGCCAAATATTTATAAAATAAACCACAATATAGTTGTAAATGCCAACTCCATATTATTCTTATCGAACTTAAAAGAAAAGCAGAAAGATCTTTTATGACTCGATGGGATGTAGAACGGGAGGGGACAGAAATCTGAAATTAGGTCACGATATATCGGTTGAAGAATAGCGGCTGTTACCCAGAGTCATGACGGAAGGACAGGGGGCCTGGGCCCGAGGCACTGAATAAGTCCTCACACTGATTGGCTTTGTGATGCTTCATGAGTGCTGAAGTGGACATTGTGGTGTCAGAAGAGCATCTCTGAGACGGGATCCTGGTGAGCCCGGAAGTTTCCGGGTAACGGAGTGGGATGAAAGGGACTGTACTTCCCACGCACCCCTTTTGTGGCTGACGTTACGTAGGGCACTGAGGCGTCCTGTGTTCTCTTTTCAGCCTAGAGTGCTGTGCTGTAAGCGCTTCATTTCTTTTTTTAAAAATATATTTTATTGATTTTTTTACAGAGAGGAAGGGAGAGGGATAGAGAGCTAGAAACATTGAAAGAAAACAAACCAAGAAA